GGTGTTGTCTACTAATATGTTTCAGTAGTTATCTGGTATATCCATCAATGACCCTAAGCTATGCACTAGTTTATGGTATACCAAATACCCTATTTTTCATCCAATGGTGCCGTTATGTATGCAATCTGATTGCCTATCAGTTTACCTATTTTTATATACTGTGTCGCTATATAAAGCTCCGGCAGTCCTATTGTTTAAGACAATTACAACAATTACTGATAACTACTACTAATAATAATAATACTAATAATACTAAACGTATTCAACTAATTATGAAATCAATGGACAAATTATTTACCGATATATCCGACTATAACCGGACTTATTGGTCAAAATTTTTACTATACTTATGGCTAACGTTTGGTACGGCTATTGTTATCCTATTATATAGTCTATTGTTTGACAACTCATTAGACAATCAAATACCGAAACTAATATTTTTATACAGTTTTCTGGTATTAATAATCGGATATTTATTTATTATATTAACTGCCGCATCGGTTAACAGTTTTAATGATAAACTATTAAAATTGTTTTATAGGTTATATATATTGTTATAAATTAATTAATTAAATAATTAAATTAATTACTACTACTCCTAATAGAAAAAATGTTATTTTTATAAATATATTGATTATATAATTGTTTTATATTTTGAATGAATCTAACGTTATAATTATAAATCATCAGTTAATCTATATATTTATTTTATTTATTTTTTTGAATATATAATATGATTAATAATTTAGTTATTTGAAAAAAATAATACATTGTATTAAATATAATTACTTGAATAATAAATATAATTTTAAATAATTTATAATTAAAATAAATTATAATAAAACAAAATTTTTTCAGTCAAGCACTTACTGTTTAGTAATAATAATAATAATAATAAAATAATATAAAGTAACTTTATTAATGAAATTAAAACTTAATTATATATTTATAGATTTTTTTTATAAAGTAATTGTTTTGAATAACATTTTTTTGTAAAAAACATTATTAATGTTTTTTTAAACAATAAAAATAATTAATAAATTTAATAAACAATTAAACTGTATATCTAAATAATAATTTATATATTTTATCAGTAAATATGTTTAACGAAGCGGCAGTTAATATAATAAATAAATAGGAAATTATATATAAAACTAAGCCATAAGTGAACATAATTTTTGCTAAAAAATTCAATTGAAAAAACAATAGACTATATAATAGTATAACAATAGTCGTACCAAATGTTAGCCACAGGTATAGTAAAAACTTTGACCAATAAGTTAGGTTATAGTCGTCAATATCGGCAAATAAAGTGTCCAATGATTTCATAATTAGATGAATACGTTTAGTACGTATAGTATTAAGTAGTAACTGATGTTTAGTAGTAGTAGTACTGTTGGTTAGCACTAGTAGTTGTTTTAGTTGTCTTAAACAATCAGACTGTCGGAGCCTTAAATAGCGACATAGTATGTAAAAGTAGACGAACTGATAGGCAATCAGATTGCATACATAACGGCACCATTGGATAAATAATAGGGTATTTGGTATACCATATACTAGTGCATAGCTTAGGGTCATTGATGGATATACCAGATAACTAGTCAAACTTATTAGTAGACAACATACCGGTAACAAATAGGTAACATTAAATTGACAGTAATTACATAATTGGGACATCAATTTGTTGAGCTTCTGGATCTCCTTGGGATCGGTTAGACCAACCGATAGGGGTGTCCATCGATAGCCGGACATCATTTCAAATACCCGTAGAAATGTTGGTTCAATACCCCGGTTATAGTTATACAAATAGGTTAATGAAGATAATAGGGTAAACATAGCCGACATTAGTTGACATATGTTCATCAGTTGACCCATTTTCCATAGATATACCCAATCGCCTAACTGTGCAAACAGTAGCCAATTGTCTGTATCATCGATAAACAACAAACAAACTGTGCGTTCAATAATATAAACCAATAAAACAATTATTATAATTACGGGTCGATTAAACCATAGTCTCTGAGGATAACAATCATCGGCGACTGCGGCTACTAATCGATGGCTACTTAAGCCGATTAGGTATAAATGATAGGCCGACCATTTGTAGGCTATATTTGCTGGTAATAAACGGTTAATTGAAAAATCAGTCATATTTTTCACTTTTTTGATTGTTTAAAAATATTTTTTGAAATATATTTATCAATAAATTTTTAAAAAAATAAAAGTAAAATATTTTTTGTATTTAATATTTTTTTTAAATATTTTTTTATAAAACCAAATAATATAAATACTGATTATTTGCAAAATAACTTTATTGGAAATATAATTAAATATATGATTTTTATATGAGTTTTTTTTGTTGATTATTTATTTATTAATGATTATATTATTTTGATAATTATAGTCAGAAAAATAAAATAAAATATTTTTTTCCATAACAGTAATTACTTTATTTATTACAATTAAAATTATTATTATGAAAATAAAATAAACAATAAAAATATTAAAATATATATATATTGTAATATATATAAATAAATATATATTGTAATTAGTAAGATAACAATAATAAAATTATAATTATTAGTAATAATTGTTATTTTTTTGTAAACAATAATAATATTTATTAAATGAATGAAAAAACATATATAATTATTATCATAATAATAATAATAATAAAAATAAAAAAAAATAATAATAATAATAATAATTTTATAATTATTAATTAATTGTGTTTATAAATTTAAAGAAAAAATAATTAGAGTTTTATTTAATTATAAACATTTAATGATTTTTTGTTGTTGAAAAAATACTGTATTTTAAATTTTATAAATTATTTATTATTTATAATAATAATACTAATAATAATAATACAATACACTGTTATCATAACATTTAGCCTAAAAAAATAAATAGCTATATTATATTATAAAATATTTTTAATATCAAACTAAAAAAATAAATATTTTTATTGATAAAAACATAATTATATTCAGTATGATATCTAATAAAATATTTTTTTTTGTAATTTTGATATTATATATTATTATTATATATATTTAAGTATATCTACTGTATTACAGATATGACTGGAAATACTACTTATTAAGTGTTAAAGTGTTAAAAAAATAAACTATTATTAGTAGTATAATTATTATCACTATTTAATTAATATATATATATATATTATATAATACAATATATTATATATTAATATATAATTTATTATAACAGTAATTTTTTTATTTGATAAATACAACAAACAAAAAAATAAGATATAAAATAAATAATCAAAAAATATTAATTGTTAAACTATTATACATACTATATATATATATATATATATATTATTTATTTATATTATGACAACAAAACAAAAATTTTAATATATTTATTATATAAATAATATAATAATTAGAAATTTATTTTTTAAAAGTTTTTTTATTTGAAAGTTTACTATTTATTGTCAATTTTTAATTATGAAATGCATTCAATATGAAATATAATAATAATAATAGCAAATAATAATCATAAATATAATTAATATTATATATATATATATATATATAACTGATAATATAGTATATATTAATACTATATATTATATACTGTATATACTGTATTATAAAATACTTAAGTTATTATTACTGATAATTAAATGAAATTATTAACTATTATTGATTTGCTTAGTATATAAGGTTTTAAGTATTATTATTATTATTATTATTATTATTATTATTATTATTAAATAGTAATTAACATTTATAATTAATAAGTACTAATAATAATAATATAAAAATTCAAATAATTGAAAGTGATAAAATGTCAAAAAAATAATTTTATTATTAGTAGTAATAATCTATAAGATAACATATAATACTAAATATCATTATTATTAATTTATTTAAATATCTCTATGAGTCTAATATATCAGTATTAAAAATTAATTAGTAATATATTAACAGTAATTACATTATAAAAATTCAAGTTTAATACATATAATTAAAAGTTATTTTTTAAAATAAATAAATAAATTATTTCATATTTAATTAAATTTATAAATATAAATAATATTATTGTACTTATAATAATTGAAAATCTGTAAAATAGTATTAATTAAAAATTATTATTATTAGTATTATAAACCTAATAAACTGTTAAATGATTATTTATCTATCTATAAAAATTTTATTTGGGTTAAAAAACAACAATTATTTATATTATTATTATTATTATTATAGATAATAACATTATTATTAATAATAATAATTTTGATTTAAAATAAACAAATAATAATAATATGAATCGCATGCCGACACCTGACTATGATGACGATGATGATGATGACCACCAACAACACATGCCTACCGGTGCCGGTAAAGGCAGCACCGGTAGTTATGGTGACCATGGTGATTCAGGGTATGTGTTGTTATATTTATATTAAGTTATTACTATATATGTTGTTGTTTTTTTTGTTGTAATTATACTAATAATTAATTAAGTTGTCAAAAACTTATCTATGTGTGTATGTGTATGTGTATGTGTATGTGTATGTGTATGTGTATGTGTATGTGTATGTGTATGTGTATGTGTATGTGTATGTGTATGTGTATGTGTATGTGTATGTGTATGTGTATGTGTATGTGTATGTGTATGTGTATGTGTATGTGTATGTGTATGTGTATGTGTATGTGTATGTGTATGTGTATGTGTATGTGTATGTGTATGTGTATGTGTATGTGTATGTGTATGTGTATGTGTATGTGTATGTGTATGTGTATGTGTGTTATTGAAGATTATCTCAACAGTATATATATATATATTACTAATTTATTATAATAATAATTATTAAATTTTATTAATTTAGACCTAAACGACACACCGATGATGAACTGATCCAATCATGGGATCGGTTTAAGACAATACCGCCGCCCGATGACGACGAAACCCTATCGGATGAATGGCTTGAATTGATAATTAAATTTATAAAAATTTTAGTTATAATTATAACATTTTCGGTTACCCTGGGGTTTGCTGTCATCAGTAAATCATTGATACTATTAATGATATCAATGATCAAAATTAATCGTACAATACCTCTATGTAATGGTGACGGTATCTATCAAATTGAGCCACCCCTGGACCGGGATAAACGTTATACAACTATCTATTCGATTGATTCACCCGAACGTATAGCCTGGCTGTGGACCCTATATTTTGCTACCATTACCCCGGAGTTGTTTGTTTGGTGCCGAAGCGCATGGATATGTTTGTTCAATACCTATAGGCGACCCAAGTGGCGGACATTTTTGACGGTATTTTTTTTTAAATATTTTTGGTTTTAATTATTTTTGGTTTTAATTATTTTTTGTTTTAAATAATTTTTAGTTTTAAATAATTTTTAGTCTTAATTATTTTTGGATTTTAATTATTTTTGTTTTAAATAATTTTTTGTTTTAATTATCTTTTGTTTAATTATTTTTTGTTTTAAATAATTTTTGTTTTAAATAATTTTTGGTTTTAATTATTTTTTGTTTAATTATTTTTGGTTATAAATAATTTTTGCTTTTAATTATTTTTTGGTTTTAATTATTTTTGGTTTTAGCTAATTTTTGTTTTAATTATTTTTCGTTTTAATTATTTTTGTTGTTGTTTTTTAGTATTTTTGTTATAAACCAAATATATAGAGTAATAATTTAAATAAATTTATTATTATTATATATATATATTTATTATTTGTTGTTTTTTTAGTTAATTATATACTCTATTTATAACTTATGTATAAAAACTAACTTAACTAACACCTACTAATCATTACCTACTCCTACACCCACCCACTCACCCACCCATACAGGTATTTACAACGGAAACATTCAACGCAATCGGCATATCTCTACTAATTTTCCTTATACTACCCACCATTGACTCGATTACTGGTGCTATGATAACCAACAGTCTCTGTTTGATACCCGGCCTACTATTACTATTACTAGTGCTATATTCAACTGTACCCAACAATAATAATGGGAAAATAATGGTTAACCGTAAATGGCTAACCATCATAGCTTGTTTGATACAACTGATTGGCCTAATATGCTGGCCAATTATTATCAGCTACACTAACCGTGGCTCCTGTATGTACTACTGGTATCTACCTGTGGCTATGATACTGGTATCGTTTACCTGGTGGGAAAACTATGTAGATGCTGCCGATGATGGTGATGATCCCGGAGCTCAAGTATCCAATAATCCAATAATTGTCCGATGGCTGGCCACAAGTAAACATGATTTGCAAACAAGTAGATATTTTACATACCTGATCGTATCACTATGGAAATGTCTGGTTATCCTATCGATGATGATCCTAATTGAATACCTGAATGAGGATACGGCTACTGTGGGTACAATGTTTAGCCGATTTGGTGAAGCCTATCGTAACTATCAGATAGCTATCCAACGGGATAAGTCCCAGTTTGACTATCAAACCCCAATTGAAGGTAACAATCATCGGATGCAAATATCCGATCCGTTAGTACCCGTTTGGGTACTAGTCGTACAGATTATGGCCAGCTATATGTGCTACGCTGTCGGGAAGTTTTCGTGTAAAATTTGTATACAGTGTGTATCGTTTGCCGTACCGGTCAATATGGCCGTACCGTTTACGGTGTCGTTTCTATGGGCTATGGTTTCGGCTGCCGGTGATGACAAGTGCCAGGTATGTGTATGTTTGCGTTTGTGTGTATGTTTGTATTTGTGTTTGTATGTGTGTTTTGTATGTGTGTTTGTATGTGTGTTTTGTATGTGTGTTTGTATGTGTGTTTGTATGTGTGTTTGTATGTGTGTTTGTATGTGTGTTTGTATGTATGTATGAATGTATGTATTTGTGTGTATATATGTGTGTGTGTGTTGAGTGTATATATATAACTATTTGAAATAATTATTTATTTAAAAAATAAAATAAGTCTATAATTATTATTATTATTACAGTTAAAATTTAAACAATATTTAACAAAAAAAAATTATTTTATACATTAAAATTTTTTTTAATTAATTTATTTAACATTAATAATAATATTTTTTTTTGGTGATAGATATACACCTATTGGTCAGGTTTTCAATACATTTACTGGTATAGTCCTCAAGTCGACCAATTTATTTACGACCAAAACAACAACACCTACACCTATACCTCAACAATCGCTACCATTATATGGCTACTGTCCCTCAGCTCACAATTATGGATAGCCATACACATATGGTATCCGACCAGCGAACGACTGGCCACTACGGATAAGCTATTTATTATACCAATGTATAGTTCGGTAGTTATCGACCAGTCATTGGCTATGAATCGGCGTCGACGGCATCGACAGCATCGGCGGCAGCGTCGGCACCGGGAGATTATGGCCAACGATTTACAGCCAGTAATTCCAGTGGTGATCCTCAATGATGGTCAACAAACCATAGAAACAGCAGCTGATGATGAGGTACTGATAGCTACCACTACCCCAACTACTAGTGTTAATGTACACGAAATGTACGAAACATTTAACGAACCGATAGCTATACAGACTAACGGTGCTCTGACTGATAGTAATGGTGCATCACTACTACCTAACCTTAATCCAGGTGCCGATGATGCCGATGATATAGTTAACATATATGTATGTATAACTATGTGGCACGAATCCATCGATGAAATGCTGCAGACACTGATGTCTGTCCTACGTTTGGATGCCGACCAGTGCGCCCGTAGACAGGCCTACGAATATTTTCAATTGAATCCCAGTCTAACTGATTACTATCAAATTGAATGTAAGTATATATATACAGTATATATATATATAATATTGTAGTTATCTCTCTCACACTATCTCTCTCACTCACTCACTATCTCTCTCACTCACTATCTCTCTCTCTCTAACTCACTCACTGTCTCTCTCTCTCTAAGTCAATCACTATCTCTCTAACTCACTAACTCACTCACTAACTCACTCACTCACTCACTCACTCACTCACTCACTCACTCACTCACTCACTCACTCACTCACTCACTCACTCACTCACTCACTCACTCACTCACTCACTCACTCACTCACTCACTCACTCACTCACTCACTCACTCACTCACTCACTCACTCACTCACTCACTCACTCACTCACTCACTCACTCACTCACTCACTCACTCACTCACTCTCTCACTCTCTCTCTCTCTCTCTCTCTCTCTCTCTCTCTAATAAGAGAGATAATAATAATAATAATATAATTTATATACTTTTTAAAAAATCATAAAACTTTTTTTTATATGTAAAATACTTATATATATATATATATATTAATAAATTTGATACCTGGGCTAATTTTTTTCTGGCGCACCCACCCGTCCCCAAAAAAAGTCAATATATTTTTCGACGACGCTTTCGATCAGTTGGTTCAGGACATTGATGACAACAACAACACCGACAATAATAATAGCCGTATAATCAATAGGTTTGTCCGGCAACTGATTGAAACGGTAGATAAAGCGGCCAGTAATGTACACGAAGTCAATATTAGGCTACCGGTGCCCAATATAGTACCGACACCATATGGTGGTAAATTGGAGTGGACACTACCCGGGCAAAATAAATTGATTGCCCATTTAAAAGATAGGCTATTGATTAGGCATAGAAAACGTTGGTCACAGGTATGTTAAATATATAGTAAATAAATATATATATAACTAGTAGTAGTAGTAGTAGTAGTAGTAGTAGTATATTAGTTAGTTATAGGCAGTTATATATTACCAAAAAAATATATATATAATAAAATAATTACAAAACATCAATAAATATATTAACATTTTTGTTTTTTATATAAATATATTTTCAATTAAATTTAGTAAATAATAGTTTTATAAATATTAAATTTATTTGTTTAGTTGTTTTTTTTAGTTTCGTATTTATATATATATATATATATATAAAATAGTATAATTTTTAATTTTAAATATTAATTAATTAAATAATTTTAATTAAAACTAGTAGTAATTAAAAATAGTATTAATAGTATTTTTTAAATAATTACAATACTTATAACTATCACATTGAATGTATAATAATTTTATCAAATAATATATATATTTATTTATGTCTATTTATTTATACATACCTGTCCACACACACACAGTGTATGTACATGTACTACCTGTTAGGCTATCGTTTAGCTGGCAAACCAATGGATGAACGACGCAAAGAAACGGTAGCCATGAATACGTTTATATTGGCATTGGATGGTGACATCAACTTTAGGCCGACCTCAATGAATCTGTTAGTCGATTTGATGAAAAAAAATAAAAAACTGGGCGCCGCCTGCGGACGTATACATCCGATAGGCGGGGGACCAATGGTCTGGTATCAGGTTTGCAATAATAATAATAATAATAAAACCATTTTATACTAGTATATCAATAAACTACTAATCCCTAGCCAACCCCCCCCCAACATTATCCACCAATATATACACATGCATATTACTAAAATAATATATTATATAATGCATACCCACCCCTGCCTACCCCCCCCACTATACAAAAACAATGAACTTATACATAGTATAGACATTCATAATAATGTTTAAATAATATGTTAATAATGTTTTGTATGTTGTTGTTGGTTACAACCCCCCCCCCCTCCTATGCTACCCCTCCAACCCCTTCCTCCAATATAATCACATGCATATTACTAAAATAATATATTATATAATGCATACCCACCCCTGCCTATCCCCCCCCCCACTATACAAAAACAATGAACTTATACATAGTATAGACATTCATAATAATGTTTAAATAATATGTTAATAATGTTTTGTATGTTGTTGTTGGTTACAACCCCCCCCCTCCTATGCTACCCCTCCAACCCCTTCCTCCAATATAATCACATGCATATTACTAAAATAATATATTATATAGTGCACACCCACCCTGCCTACCCCCCCCCCCCACTATACACACACACACAATGGACTTATACACAGAATAGACATTAATAATAATGTTTATATAATATGTTAATAATGTTTTGTATGTTTTTGTTGTTGTTGTTGTTGGTTACAACCCCCCTCCTATGCTACCCCTCCAACCCCCTCCCCTAATATAATCACATGCATATTACTAAAATTATATATTATATAATGCACACCCACTCCAGCTCACCCACACAATGGACTTATACACAGTATAGACATACATAATATTGTTTATAATAATATGTTAATAATTTTTAATTTATTAATTAAATTTTAATTTTTTTGTTTTGTTGGTTGGTTACAACCCCCTCCTATACTACCCCAACCCCGACAGAAATTTGAGTACGCAATCTGTCATTGGTTACAAAAAACAACTGAACACGTGTTCGGGTGTGTACTGTGCAGTCCCGGCTGTTTCTCCCTATTCAGAGCCCGGGCTGTTATGGACGACAGTGTTATGAATAAGTATACGACTAAACCATCGGAAGCCCGACATTACGTACAGTACGATCAGGGAGAGGACCGATGGTTGTGTACATTGTTGATAAAACAAGGCTGGTATGTATGTATGTATAGAAAAACATGACCTTCCCCTCACTATACACACACACATAAACGCATACATAGATATATAAACACACATACATACAAACACAAGCATTGACACATACATACATACATACATACAGAAACATTGACACATACATACACATACATACACACACAAACATTGACACATACATACAAACACAAGCATTGACACATACATACACACACAAACATTGACACATACATACAAACACAAGCATTGACACATACATACACACACAAACATTGACACATACATACAAACACAAGCATTGACACATACATACACACACACAAACATTGACGCATACATACACATACAAACATTGACGCATACATACACACACACAAACATACACGCATAGATACACACACACAAACATTGACACATACATACATACACACAAGCATTGAAACATACATACAAACACACAAGCATTGACACATACATATACATACAAAAACATTGACACATACATACACACACATACATACACACACATACATACACACACCTACAATGGGTAAACTATTTGTTAAATAATTTATAAACTAATCTATTTTTCAAATTTTAATTCAAATTCCTTATCCTATCAAATACAACACACCAACCCCTACCTCCCACTCCACCATATAAACTACAGGCGCATTGAATACTGTGCCGCTAGTGATTCCTATACACACGCACCGGAAGGTTTCGGTGAATTTTATCAACAACGACGCCGATGGGCACCGTCAACAATGGCCAACATTATGGACCTACTGGGCGACTATAAGCAAACAATTGCCGTCAACAATAATATATCCAAACTGTATGTCCTCTATCAGGCTATGATGATGATCGGTACGGTATTAAGTCCGGGTACCATATTTTTGATGGTTGTCGGCGCTGTCAATATTGTATTAGGTATAGTATATAGACATATATAAAGTTATATAGTATTTATATTTTTTTAAATAAATAAATAAATTTAAATATTTTTTCAACAACAAAAAAATAATTAATATAAATATTAACTTTAAGCACAATTAGTACAAAAAAAATTAATTAATTAAATATTTTTTAGTTATTTATTTTTTTAATATAATATTTATTTATATTAAAATTACAATAATTATTTATTTATTTTTTTAGTATTACGATAATTATTTATTTATTTTTTTAATATTACAATAATTATTTATTTATTTTTTTAATATTACAATAATTATTTATTTATTTTTTAAAAATATTTCTATAATTATTTATTCAATAAATAGTTTACTATTTACACTACCTGTACACCCCCTGCCCTCCCATCCCCATCCCTATATCTACTGTACTATAAATATATCATATATTTTTAAGCATATATATATATATTTATAATATATATTTATTTTTGATTTAATAGGATATACCACTGACGTATCGATTGTCTTAAATCTAATACCTGTCCTCCTGTTTTCAATTGTCTGTATTGTTATCAAAAACAATGATCATATAATTTTTATGGCAATGCTATTATCTATTGTCTATTCAATGGTAATGTTGGCCGTCTATGTGGGGATATCTATAGATATGTTTCACAAAACAGTATTCACACCGAACTCCATGTTTTTCATGGGTCTAATGGGATCGTTCATTGTTGCAGCCATTTTACATCCACAGGTATGGATATGGGTGTGTGTGTGTGTGTGTGTGTGGGTGTATGGGTGGGTGTGTATGAGTTGGACAGTAAGGTTTTTTTGGGTTAGATGTAGGAGGTGTATATCATTGATATTATATTTAGTATATACCGGTATAATAATCATTGAAAATATTTTTTTAAACGTTTAAATCAAATAGTATTGTATAATATTATACTTTATATGTTAATTAAGTTTTTTTTGTGGTTATGTATGTATTATATTTTTGTTTATGTGTGGGTGCATGTATATATATTTATATAAATGTTGGCCAGTTAGTTTTATATATTAGGTAATATGTTAGGTTAGTTAAACTATATTTAAAAATATAACCACAATAAAATTAGTTATTAATTAAATTAATTTTAATATTAAGTAAATACAATATTATTAATACATACATATACTGTATATATATAAATTATTAATACACTTATTATTATGATTATTATTATTGACTACCTGTCCAAACAACAACACTAGGAGTTTGGTTGTATCATAGCTATGCCATTGTATATGTTGCTGATACCCAGTATGTATCTCCTATTGACCATCTATTCGGTAACCAATATGCATGTTGTTACGTGGGGTACCCGTGAGGTCAAGTCCAAGTTGACGGCCACCGTATCTACCGATGACACACAACAATCCGATAGCGACATAACAGTAGCCAACAAACCAATGGCCAACAAATCATTGTTAGGTTATCTTAATTTGTCTCAATTGGTCGGCCGTGGATCGGATGGACGATCGGGTTTCGGTATAATTACATGTATGTGCTGTTCGCCCAGTCAGCGACCGGATGACGACAACGACAACAATAGACTATTGAAACAAACACTAACCGAAATTACTGGACAGTTAGCTAAGGTAACCGAAACGGTTGCCTCAATCAAAAGTTGGACACTTGATCATCAGTTTATGGGTCAGTCGTCATCGGATAATCATCAGGTAGTAGTAGTAGTAGAGGAAGATACTACCGGTGCCGGTGTTGGCGGCAATGGACAGGAGGTGGTTGTGGGCGGAGGACAGTTGACTACTACTACTACTACTACTAATTGTAAGCAACTATTATTGAATAGACTATTGAATGATGTCGAGGGTGCCGGTGTCGGTGATGGACAGTCTACTATAGCTGCCGACAATAACCACCACACAACTATGGTTACTATTCAAGATACCGGTGCTGTCGGCAGTGATGGTAGTGTAGGTCATACCCCATCATCATTATCTACTATAGCCGAATCCAAACAACAACTACCCCAATGGATAGTCGACGATAGGATACTAAAACATTTACCTATAGTTCCCCTCAATGATGATGAACTAGATTTTTGGCAAACATTTATACCGAAATATTTGCTACCCCTGGATGACGATCCCGTTGAACGGGACCGTATGGCCAGGGATTTACTGTTGTTGCGCAACAAATGGGTGTTTACATTTGGCTTATTGAATACTATATTCATATTGGTTGTCCTATTATTGCAAACGCACCCGGAGATTTTTAATTTTGATATTAAACTAACCAATGATGATGATGATGATGATGGATATAATATAACCGGTTATAATAATAATAATAATAAAACCGCTGCTGATAATAATAAACCAATGTATAGTTATATGAAAATGGATCCGATAGGTAGGTTCTATATGTGTATGTATGTATGTATGTGTGTGTGTGTGTGTGTGTGTGTGTGTGTGTATGTGTATGTGTATGTGTATGTGTATGTGTATGTGTATGTGTATGTGTATGTGTATGTGTATGTGTATGTGTATGTGTATGTGTATGTGTATGTGTATGTGTATGTGTATGTGTATGTGTATGTGTATGTGTATGTGTATGTGTATGTGTATGTGTATGTGTATGTGTATGTGTATGTGTATGTGTGTGTGTATGTGTGTGTGTATGTGTGTGTGTATGTGTGTGTGTATGTGTGTGTGTATGTGTGTGTGTATGTGTGTGTGTATGTGTGTGTGTATGTATGTGTGTGTGTATGTGTGTGTGTATGTGTGTGTGTGTGTGTATGTGTGTGTGTATGTGTGTGTGTATGTGTGTGTGTATGTGTGTGTGTATGTGTGTGTGTATGTGTGTGTGTATGTGTGTGTGTATGTGTGTGTGTATGTGTGTGTGTATGTGTGTGTGTATGTGTGTGTGTATGTATGTGTGTATATATATGTGTATGTATATATGTGTGTATATATGTGTGTATATATGTGTGTATATATGTGTGTATATGTTTGTAATTTTTAAAATCTAATTTTATTTTTTTTAAATACAACTAAATCTTTATCTCTCTCTCCCTATCCCTATAGGTCTAGTATTGGTCGTATTTTTCGGCATAATTCTGGTCATCCAATTGATCGGTATGTTTATCCATCGGTTCGGTACACTCTCCCATCTACTAGCCTTTACTACCATTGATTTATGCCATAAAAAACTAAATCAAACGCCCACTAGTAAGGACATGGATGCTAATGATGATTATGATGACGATGAGGAGGGTATTGGAAATAAAAATCTTATTATCAAACTAACCAAACAGCTACAGAAGCTCAAGGGTTTGGCTGATGATGATGAGGAGGTGGTGGGGATGGACGACCACCAGATGGGTAGACTCATGAGTGGGTCAGATACTATGTCAAACACTGGCGGAAAACATCAGATCCCTGTCCAACATAACTTGGATCACGCTTTTCGCAAACGGCTAATGAGTTTACAGCCCGACAGCAGCAGCAGCAGCACCGGTATGTATATTGATATGACTGACTCACCCACTAATCCAACTAACTATCGCATAGACATCCGCCAAAAATCGATAGTCCGACGCCATAGTCATGTCCTTCAGGCTCTGTGTCGACGCCGCGATACTATTATTATGGATAATCAGCGCCGTATGAGTCGACTGTCCTCAACGCAGTTACTATCGACAGTAGTCGAAGAATCGTCGACTATAGGCTCAAGTAGTCAGCGGTAGCACCGGTAGCCTAACTGTGAGGTCAACTTTTTACTCAAATATATATATATTATATATAGACCTTAAATATGTAAATAAAAAAATAGTGATAAAAGCAATTGAATTAAAAAATTAGAAATTAAATAAATAATTATACTTTAAATTTTTTGATATATTTTTTTATGAATTATTTAAAAAAATTAATTTTTTTTACATATTTATAAGTTTTACATATGCTTTTAGTATTTTTTCTTAAATATATAATTTTTTAATTAAAATATAATTTGTTAATGATATCAGCTATGATTTAAAAAGTTAGACTTAATTTTTGTATTATTTATTTTTTTAACATTTAAAATATTTCTATTATTTATTACAATTTAATTACCTGTAAATTGCAAACAATATAAGTAATAGTAATAATAATAGTTAATAAATTTAATAATAATATTGATGACAAATATTATAACATTATTTCCAATAAATAAATCTAATTATTATTATATAATTTTAGTAAATTTTTTCAAAGATAATAATTATATTATTAAATATAATAAAATATATATTTAAATTTATATATAGTTAAAAAAAATATATCTATGTGACATTGAATAATTCAATAAACAATTACTAGTAATACAAGTAATTATTTTTAAAAAAAAAAAATTATTTATCATTGACTAAAATATTTTTTGTAATTATATAATGATAAATTCAAAAAAAAGTAAATTAAATAATTAATAACATATATAAAAAATGAAATATTAATATTTCTAAAAATATATTATTTATTCAACAAAAAAACAAAATGAATTTTACACTAAAATTACATTATTATTATTATTATTATTATTATTATTATTATTATTACAGTATTACTAATCAATTAATAATTTTCGGACGTTTTTCAACCCTAACAAACACTTGCTTAGGTGTCATAACGCCAAACAAAGCGTCGTAAAACTCAAGGGGTTTCTGTTAAAAATAAATATAAAAAAATTAAGTAATAAATAATAATAGTATAAAAAATTATTATTAAATTAATAATAATAATAACAATAATAATAAACTAGTTTTTATCAGTAAAAATAAATATGTAAATATGTATCTCATTATTATTATTATTATTATTATTATTATTATTAAGTATATAAGTGTATGTGTATGTGTATGTGTATGTGTATGTGTATGTGTATGTGTATGTGTATGTGTATGTGTATGTGTATGTGTATGTGTATGTGTATGTGTATGTGTATGTGTATGTGTATGTGTATGTGTATGTGTATGTGTATGTGTATGTGTATGTGTATGTGTATAATATAAACATATAGATACAACATATAAACTTTAAATCTATGTACATATATATATATACAATACAATACCCCGGTATCAAAAAATCGATAGTTGTAGACGGCATTGACCAGTGCCAGTTTGGACTCAATTAGGGCCAATCGCATACCAATACACTGTCGCGGACCGGAACCAAACGGTAAAAAGGCATACGGATGATGATGTTGGCCTAATTGATTGCCCGGTAGAAACCGGTCGGGCAGGAACTGGTCGGCCTGGGGATAGTTAGCCGGGTCTCGATGTATACAATAGACAGGTATGTGAACTACTTGACCCTTGCGTATGGTTATACCATCGGAGGATCTCTGGTGGTGTTGGTGGTGTTGGCCAGTCGTATGGTTGTTCAATGTGTAGTCCTGGTTGGCCTGTCGTTCAATGGCCGTAACCGCCGGATACAGGCGTTGCGACTCTTTGAAGACGGCGTCCAAGTATTTCAATGAATATAATATATCGTAATCGACGTCCGACTGTATAAATATATGATTTTTAATTAATTAATTAATCCAAAAAATTAATTATAAAATTTTAATTTATAAAATGAAATTAATTTGTATAAAAATATCTATTTTTTTGGTAAACAATATAAAAAAATAAATGAAATGTTTATTATAGTTAAGTTTATTAATAATTAGATATCAAAAAAATAAATAAAACTAAAATAATATGTTTTAATTAAGTAATAATTAAAATTCTAATTTTTTAAAAAACATATTTTTTGTAAAATTATCTATTTTTTATGAATTAAAAATAAATTAAAAATTAATATCAGATAAATAAAAGTCTATTAATATTATAGTTTAGTTTAAGTTATAATTAATAACTAAAAAAATAAAACTAAAATAATATGATTTAATTAATTATTAATTAATAAATAATTAAAAAATTCTAATTTTTAAAAAACATATTTTTTTGTAAAATTATCTATTTTTTATGAATTAAAAATAAATTAAAAATTAATATCAGATAAATAAAAGTCTATTAATATTATAGTTTAGTTTAAGTTATAATTAATAACTAAAAAAATAAAACTAAAATAATATGATTTAATTAATTATTAATTAATAAATAATTAAAAAATTCTAATTTTTAAAAAACATATTATTTTGTAAAATTATCTATTTTTTATAAATTAAAAAATAAATAAATATTAGATAAATAAAAGTCTATTAATATTATAGTTTAGTTTAAGTTATAATTAATAACTAAAAAAATAAAACTAAAATTAATTAATTAATTATTAATTAAGAAATAATTAAAATTCTAATTTTAAAAAAACTTTTTTGTAAAATTATCTATTTTTATAAATTAAAAATTAAATAAATGTCAGATAAATAAATAAAAGTCTATTATAGAATAGTTTAGTTTAAGTTATAATTAATAATTAAAAAAAATAAAACTAAAATAAATTAATTAATATTTTTTTTTGTATTTAAAATCACAGTTTAATAGATATAATCATAATTAGTTACTAATAAAAATAACTGAAAAAATATTATTAAAATAAATAAATAATTTTAATAATAATTTTTTTCATTATATATATACAGTATATATACCTGTTTATGATGTCTGACATAATCATCGATTTCATCGTACAATCTTTGCTGACAATCGGGATGTTTGGCCAACAAATAGGTTATTACCGACAATGCAGTGGCAGTTGTCTCGTAGCCGGCGATAAAAAATATGATCGACTGAGCCATTAGTTCATCGTCTGTCAGATCTATTTAAAAGACAAAAAAATTAAAATAAAATTAAAAAACAAAAACAAAAATCAAATCAAACATACATTTATCTGAATTATTAACATCACTAGTAGTAGTAGTAGTAGTAGTAGTAGTCTTGTTATTATCATTGTCTGTCATCGTGTCTAACATTAGCTGTAAAAAGTCGGTCCGTTTGGTAGTAGTGGTTGTATCGGTGGCCGACTGTCCACTACTACTACTACTACTACGTCTATCGGCGATAATTTTTAGGGTAAATTCCCGGAAAAATTTCGAAACCGATTTATCGACTATCGATAGTTTCAATAGTTTAGCCAATTCGGGCCATATATTGATTATTAGTAAACTTAAGCTGAAATCAGTGCTAAACATTTTGCTGGCATTACCAATGAACGGGTTGTCCCTATCAAATAGGGTATCAACACGGGTACCGAATGCTACCTGTATTATGACTTCCATACTGTAGGCCCCGAACAGCTGTTTCATATCACCGATACTACCGTTTGTCCTGTTATTAGCTATACTATCCAAATATTTGGACATATTATCCATACATTGGTCGATCATTGGCACCATTTTACGTAGTTTTCCGGCCGTAAATGTCGGCGATATTATCGTACGGACACGTTTCCAGTCGTCATCCCGGATAATACCGACCGCTTTGTCGATCAATGGGTCGGCACCGGTAGAAAAATCCTATAAATAAAACAAATAATTTTTTGTTATTATTATTATTTTCAAAGTAAAAAAATTATTTTGTAAAAAATAAAATAAATATATAAATGAAAAGTAATATATAGGTTAATAATAAAATAATTTTAATTATCATAACTTAATTAATAGATTTATTTTTTAATTAAGTGATGTATTAATTAACTGACTTTTTAATTAACTGATTTATTAATTAACTGATTTATTTAATTTATTTATTTAGTAATTAACTGATTTTTTTTATTTAACTGATTTAGTAATTAACTGATTATTTATTTAACTAATTTATTTAATTAATTAATTTATTATTTAATTAATTAATTTATTATTTAATTGATTTAGTAATTAACTATTTGTATTAATTAACTGATTGTATTAATTAACTTATTTATTAATTAACTGATTTATTAATTTACTGATTTATTAATTTACTGATTTATTAATTTACTGATTTATTAATTTACTGATTTATTAATTTACTGATCTATTTAATTAATTGATTTAGTAATCAACTGATTTATTAATTAACTAACTAATTAATTAAGTGATTTATTATTTAATTAACTATTATTTTAAAATTATTAATTAGTATTTAGTTAGTCTAATAGACATTATTATTTTTTTTAAATAATAATAAACTACTGTACAGATAAACAAATATATATATATATATATATATATAGTTGAAATTAAATACCCGTAAAATTATTACAAAAAAAATAATTAAATTAATTAATTAATTAATTAATTTTTTCAATTATAATTACCCGTCTGTTTGGAAATATATGAAAATCTTTGACTAAAACATCGCGAATCAAATCGGGTTCCGACAGATAGAGTACCGGACGGTTCAGTTCATAGACGCCGAAACATTTGCCATACTTTCCATATAACTCCTGTTCCCAATCGCCTATGGATCTGGTCATACGTGTCCATAGACTTACCGATGCTGTCGGTACTCCTTGCGACTCCCAATACATACATTTTGATGTATAATATCTGTTATCAAAAAAAAAATTAAATAATAATAATAATATTTTTTTTGTTAATTATTATAATAATAATAATTACCTGTAAATTGCAAACAATATAACTATACTAATAATAGTCAATGGATTTAATAACAATAATGACAACAAAAATTGTAACATTTTTTTTTAGTAATAAACTAATTACTATATAATAGATATATTAAGTTTTGATGTACAATAATATATGAAATTTATATTTTAAAAAATATTTATGATATATAATGTATATATATATATAAATAAAATATGATAAATATATACAGTATTTAGTTATGTTTAGTATGACTTTGAAAAAGTTATCAATAATTTTTAAATATAATAGATAATACTGTTTATTAATAAAATCAATCAAATATTTTATATAAAATATAGTTTATTAATACAAAGTATACAAACAAACAAAAATAAAATTAATATTAAACATTGATTTACAAAAATAAGATTAAAAAAAAGTTCACAAATTAATTATTTCAAAATTAATTTTATATAACATATTATAAAATCCAAATTATAATTATTATAATAATTTAATATTTTATTTCCTTATATGTTATTTTTTGTTGTTGATTAAATTGATAAATAAAAAACAATTGATCATTAAATAAAAATAATAAACATTTTATTTACTATTTTAAAAAAATAATATAATCATCATTAATAATATTATCAATTAGTAAATAAATTCAATTCAAAATTAATATAATATTTATAATAGAAAAATAAATAATAAAAACTATTTTAAATAATCTATAAAAATAATAATGTAATAAATTAAATTAACAATAACATAAATATAATTAAGTTAAAAATTATTAAATTTTATTTATTTTTCAAAATTATTTACATTAAAATTATAGTATAGCTTATATTGTAATTAATAATAATAACATTAATAGTAGTGACTATAATGTTAACTTAATTTACTTAATAAAAATATTAATAATTTATATGAAAAATATTTATAAATATTTATTGTCTATGATTTTTGCAAATGTTATCATCAATATGTAGATAAAATAATAAATTAATTATTTAAATTTTATTTTATATATATCACTCATAAAAAAACTCTATTAATAAATTAAATTTTAATTATCTTAATTGACTAATTAATAATATAAATATATATATATATAAATTATTATAATTTTTAATTAAATTAAAAATAAAAAACATTTGGCCAACAAATAATGCACTAAATAAATTAATAGATAATAATATTAATAAATATTTGATAATTTTATTTTTATTAAATAAATGATAACTTAATTTAATTTATTTTTATATCATTGATCAATGTTATGAAATAAAATATAAAATTATAAATTTAAAAAAAATATTAAATAACATATTTAATTAATTAATTAAAAATTATCTAATAATTTAAATCAAAATATAAAAAAATGATTAATTATTTTTTTATTTGCAAATATACTGTATATATATTTATTAATGTAAACAAATTAACCTACAATTAAAAATTTTAAAAAAAAAATTTTATTAATCAGTAATTAAGATTTCTAAATGTCTAAATAAATTCAATAATAAATAAAAAAAAATTATAAAAATAATTTTATCTAAATTTTCACATATAACAAAAAAAATTATTTTAATTTAAATGTTAATCATTTAATTAATTTATTGATTTATAGTATCAAATATATAATATTAATGATAATGAATATACAGTACATTATATATAATATATTTAATGTAAATAATATTAAAATAAATATAAATTGTATGAATATTATACAGTAAAAAATAAATAAATAAATTTTTAAATATATTAAGTTATAAATTATACAATGAGTCAATAAAAAAATTATAATAAAATATTATATATTTAAAAAAAATAAATACTTATTATTTAATAATACAGTTATTAATTAATTTTAATTATATACAAAAATAATAATAATAATAATTATTATTATTATTTAATAATTATTAGACAAAATTATGTTTAATATTGATTTTATCGATTTTATTTCTCTCCCGTACGGCCACTGCATAGCCGTAGGCCAGTATTGTTACCGATATTTGGACGGCTATTGTAACGGTTAAAAACATTACCGTTTGCCGACAGTAGACAACCAACAGTACGGCCGTTAGTACCGATACCACGGTCTCGATGATAGCGTAGACAAGGGATAGGTCATACCATTCACGATAGACAGCCCACAAACCGATCATCGATACGCTAACCAATACTATGGCCAGTAGTATGACATTAGCGGCCGTAAACAGTTGACTGACGGAAACTGCCGGTGCTATTGAATGATAGAGAGAGAGAGAGAGAGAGAGAGAGAGAGAGAGAGAGAGAGAGAGAGAGAGAGAAATATCGAAAAAATTAATTAAAATTAAATTAAAAATTATTAGTATTTACTAAAAAAATACTAAACTTTAATATTATTATTATTATTATTTTAGTTAACAATAATTATGATAATAAA